AACATCCATCAATGAATGAGAAAAATCAAGGGATTTCTCCCACACTGGAAACGTTTACATCCATGAAAAATATACCAGTTCACGTTCACAGTCAACTCATGCCAACACGGACGAATTGTGCGGGACAAAAACATTCAAGTTCCATCAGGCTACACGGCCCAAACAATAATTCCAGAACTGAACTATAATTTCGGCTAAAGCACGAGCATTCATCGCTGAATATATTTGTTCCAAAAAATCAAAATCCCAAGAATAAATGTACCATAAACTTTGAAATTTCCCGAACTGATTTCAGCATTCAGTCCACTTTAACCGTAGGAGGCGTGGGATTTCGCATCAAAACCAATTCTTCTGAAGTAGTAGGATGAATTGCGACTGTTCGGTCAAATTCGGCCTTCGTGAGACCCGCTCTCACAGCAACAGCAAAGCCTTGCAAAATCTCGTCCGAATTGATTCCAAACAAATGCAATCCGATCACCTATTCGAAACAACAACAAAATCATCCAGAACGCTCATTAGAAAGAACATGATTCTGAAAATCATTGAAAGTTTCAGACAATTGGAGTCCATCTCTAAAAAAATTCTGTCATCACCTTTTCCTCCGGTCCCAGGACAATCATCTTGAAATGATTCTTCGGCTTGTGGTCAAGCACGGCGTAATACATTGACGTGAAAGATGCCGAATAAATCCTCACTTTCTCTGCTCCGTACTTTCGCACAGCTTCCTCTTCCGTCAAGCCGACACTTCCTGCATGTTAGAAATTCCCGAATTTGAAGCAATCAATAATTGTAACCTAAAATATTTATACAGATTATGAAAGAAATATTTTTTTTAGATTGACACGCACGATCATCACGGTTCTAATAATTAATGATGTCTCGGTTCTGCATGCGGAATGAAGGTTCACTAAATTTGAACAAACTCAGGAATTTAGGTGTTAGATAAGCTTATTACGATTTAAAGATTGAAAATTTATAAGCTCACTGAAAATACAGGTATTTCTGTAAAAGATTATTTATTTAAATTATGATCTCGGTTCACTCGGTTCACGGAAAAGACTTTCCACACTTGAAAGGCGAAAAACTTCACTGTCTACGAATTTGTTCGAAGTAACATTCCCTTTCATGGAATTCCTTACCATGATTTTTCAAGATGAAAAAAACTGATG